TTTCTTATAGAACTTTTTTTATAGAATTGATTTTCTCATAGGGAATCTCCATAGATTTTCTCAAAGAAATAGATTTTCTGAAATCTCCATAGATTTCCTCATAGAAAATCTCCTAAGATTTTCTCATAGAAAATCTCCATAGATTTTCTCATAGAAAATCTCCATAGATTTTCTCATAGAAAATCTCCATAGATTTTCTCATAGAAAATCTCCATAGATTTTTTCATAGAAAATCTCCATAGATTTTCTCATAGAAAATCTCCATAGATTTTCTCATAGAAGATTTCCATTTATTTTCTTATAGAAAATCTTCATAATTTTTTCAAAAAAAATTCTAGATTTTATCATAGAAAATTTTTAGATCTGAATATTTTCTAATATAAAATCTGAATATTTTCTCATAGAAACTTTTTAGATTTTCTCCTAGAAACTCTCTAGGTTTTCTCCTGGAAACTATCTAGATTTTCTTCTAGATTTTTTCTGGATTTTCTCCTAGAAACTCTGTAGATTTTCCCCTAGAAACTTTCTGGATTTTCTCATAGAAACTTTCTAGATTTTCGTATTGGACATCTCTTTATTATTAAAAAAATTATAGAAAATCTATCATTTTTTTATATTAGGAAATCACGGAATTTTCTCATAGAAAATCTCTCTTTTCAGAGAAAAAGAAAAGCTCTGGATTTTCTCCTAGAAAATCTCTGGATTTTTTCAAAGAATATCTGTAGAATTTCTCATAAAAATCTCTAGTTCTTAAGATCTTCTCACTGAAAATCTCAAAATTTTAAAAGACCTTTAGATTTTGTATAATATTTACTGGGTAAAAAATATGTTTTTGAGTTTGTTGGAAATTGTCAGTGACCCACATTTTTACCTACCTTGATGAAACATTACTTCGTTTTATATCCAAATTCTTACAAAATGCATAATGTTCTGAAGAAATAATCCATAATAAGGATCAAACTCAAACGAGCCATTAAAAATCATCACAAATCCACACAATACATTTATTTACCTAACTAGGTGTGGGGGTTTAAACGCGGATTTCTTTCCATTCACTCTTTTTACACCACCTCCTCTTCCTGCATTTCCTCCTCGGCAAATATTGCCATTATAGCAAAGGGTGTTTCATTTCCAAAATCGATCAATATCAATGCCCTTAGCCAAAGGCTGGAAAAAAAGTAACGGTCGTTTCGCCCATGGTGTCCTTAAATTGCCACACAAACAATGAACGAAGGGGGAAAATTTCCTTATCAAAGGAGCGGAGCAGCAGCAGCACCACCACCACCATCAGTATTTGTTGTTTGTTTAAGTATAAAATAATTTTTGGTTATGAACACAACAACAACAACCAATAAGAGAAATAAAAATGTTTTAATAAAAGCCGGCTGCGTTTGCGTTTTTGTTGAGCACACAACATAAGCAACGCATAATTCCATTTTCAACCCTCATTCTGCCATTGGTGATAGTGAGCGGTATTTTGCTGTGCGCGGTGTTATACTGCGTAGTGTTGTGGCTGTTGTCACAGCTACTACTCACTTTTCTGTTATTTGTTCGATTACACTTTGGCGCATATAACACGAGTCAATAAGTTTACATACGATAGGCACAGTGGGATGGGAAGAAGATTTAAGGAAATCCTAACCATAGGAAACTGAAGTGGTGAACCAACAGTATAAATATTTCTAGGCTATAACATTATTTACGATTAGTGTTACAAAAATAAAAGGTTGGTCGGGACAGCTCATATTTAACATTGCCCTGAGATTGGATCAAAATGGTTTAAAAAAAGTAAACATTTTCTGCTTCGAATCGCTCCTTATTTAGTATATCACCTTGCGTACCATCCGATAATCGGACGAACTGCATGATATGGATGGATCTACAGAAATCGTTCTGAATTTATTTTGTACAAAAATATCAGATAAAGACTATAATTTGTACGAAACACATATTTGATCAATACGATATTTACTTTTACTTTTTCAAAGCCTATCATAATGGATTTTTAAAGAAGATTTTTGATTTTTTTCAATCGTGGATTTTTTAAAGAATATGCAGGGTGAGATAACGCCTTAATTTTTACATTTTTTTTTTCAAATTATATTGAATGAATGCAAAAAATGTCGGAAATAGCTTCAGATTTTTAAATAAGTTAGATTTGCTCGAATTGATCACATTTGGCACGAATTATAGCCTTCAAACGGCCAATGAAACCGTCACACGCTGCCCGAATGTTGCTCTGAGGTATTTTGGCTCATTCCCGGCGAAGCGCTTGCGTGAGGTGTTCGACACTTTGGTATTTTTTAGTGCCAACCTTGCTTTACAAAATACTCCAGACACAATAGTCCAACGGATTGGTATCTGGAGATTTTGGTGGCCATTGTGCGCTGGAAATTAAGCGAGGGACCTCACGTTAGAACCATTCTTGTGTGGCGAGTGCGGTGGTGCTGAGTCCTGTTGGAATGTCCAAGGTCTGCGGCCTCAAGAATATTTTTGGGATAATATTTGGCATTTATTCTGATGCTGATTAATACGAGCGGCGAGCGACCATCGCCTCTTAAGGCGGCCCATACCATCACCATGGCCGGCGCTTGAGTTCTGGTGGCCAAACGAAGGTGCACATTTTCAGCTGACCTCTGTGACAAGCTGACACGATCATTTTGTTTGTTTACAAAAGGAGAAAACCAAATTCGGCAGTTCACCACTTTCGACCAAGCGAAGCGACTCTTTACCTCTTTTGAGTCTATTTTCTTTCTGACGCGGTGTAAGTTCTTGCACTTTTTGGAATTTCAATGGTTTTACCCCTAGCTCATTTTTCAATATTTGCCTAATGGAATATTGCGATATGTCCAGCTCACGAGCCGGCACCTGCCAGGCGGGTTTCGATCAAGTCTCTTCTTTACTTTTCGAACCATTTCTGCTGATGTTGCTGTTTCCTTCCGTCCATTTCCTTGGTGTCGGGCTACTCTACCAGTGTCACGGTAACGAGCGATGGTACGAGACTCTAACGATTTTTTCACATTTAAATGCTGGAGGGCTCTAGCGATAGCCACATGTGGCTTTCCAGCCAAATATAAAGAAATCATACTATCACGCTTGAATTCCATCACAAATAACTTTTTTACTGGAAAATTCTCACCAAAACGCTTTTGTACGCTTGTAAAAAATAAAATGAGCTGTCACTGGAATAATTTTAACAGCTGTCAGACAAGTGATTTAGAAATGACAGCAGTCTGAAGTTGGTCGAAGTTTTTCCATCTCACTCTGTAGAATTCGAGTTTAGGACTGGACAGAAGACTACCAACTTGAGCGGTCATCGGGCAATATTTAGCGGGTAAAATAAACCATAACTTTTAACGAATGAAACGAACATTTTCTCTAAACCGCAATAATTTGTAATGCCGGCCAAATCATAAATACGTAAAATGTTAACTTTGAGCATTACAGTAATGCTGATAGCAAATCATGAGATATATTGTGAAATAGGTACAATATATATGTAAAAAATAGATTTTTTTTATTCTACTTATAAGTCAAAAACCGCTGGACAATTCTTATCAATTCGGAATGGTATATTGCCAGAATAGGATAAAATCTAAGAAAATCGCGCAAAAATATGTCAATAAAAAGTCAAATATTCCAAATTACAGTGTTGTGTCGGCTCCGTACGACTATAGCCTTTGCTTAATTGTTTTTAAATCGATCGTATCAACTGCTGGCTGAGCTACTCATCAACAATTTTAAATTCATATTTAGGTGACAGGACTATGAAATCGATTTAGTCGTGATTCGCGACTATTTAATATTTTCACCGTTTTGCGGGAGTTTATAGAAGTGGGTTGATACCGTCTTTTTGCATCTGAAACTAATTTTATACAATTATTACGATAAGAGAATTTTCATTCAACATTCTTTGTTGTTTAACGACTCTGAAGTCGTCATAATATACATTTTCGAAAATTAAAAAAAATAATAAATTTTTAAATAAATTAAATTGTCCTCGATGTTTATCCTATCGCTACCACTGTGCCACACATTTCCTCAGCTCAGCACTAAATTGAGTCGGTTGAGTTGTTTGCAACTGTTTGGTTTATTTCCTTTAATACGTTCATGTTTGTGGCAGCAGGAGCAGATGTTTCCTTGAACGGAACGCGCCAACCTTATTGTGCACGTGTGTGTACATATACAGTGTTGCGCGTGTGTGTGTAAGCAGTTGCGCATGTGTGTTGGTTTTCTGTCTTGCCACACTGGCGCACATTGAAGACAGACTAATATATGGATATCTTTGAAATTTATTCTGTTTAGGGGAGCGACAACATCGGCCGAGCTGATGCATGATATACATCAATGAAAAATATTTTTAACGTATTTTTTGTTCATTACCTTTATGGTTGGTGGTATATTTTGTTGTTGCAATTGTTACCCCCGTGTCAGTGAGTTGTTCTTTCTTCTACTTTTTGTTGTGCATGACTGCTTGGGCTGCCAAGCAACTAGCCACCAGGCTGCAGTTGTTTAAGTCAGTCTTCAAGAATCGTTCGGAGTGGAAAGTTGTCCTTGCTCTCGTTGTTGTCGTGAGAGAGTTGTATTTACCAAGAGAATAGTTTTGGAAAAATTATATTTTTTATTACAATTTTAATTGTTGAAGAAAATTGTTGAATTTTCTAATTTAAAAAAAAAAAATTGGATACGAATAAAAAAGGAATAAAAATCGGAACATTTTTGCTGAAAAAAGTGATGATCTTGAAGTTATAAAAATTAGAAATTGAAGAATTAAAAAAATAAATAAATAATAATAATACAAAATTGAATCATTGTTGATATATAAAAACAATCTATTAACAATTTCGAGAAATGAGTTATTAAAACGGTTCCTTAAAGATTGAAAATCTTTTAATATGGGAAAACATTCCTAGCTGCCTCCGACATTTTTTAAAAACTAGAAACTTTTTAATAAAATAATAACGTGAAACTGATATCAAAAAGCTTACAACTTTGAGAGAAGCTTATAAATATTTTTAAACAAAATCACATGAAGGACTATCAAGGCCTATCAGCTGGATCCCCAATAACAAAAAAGATCGGTTCCCTGAATTGAAAAAAGACTGTCTGGATCACCCAAAGGTTTACAAATTGGAAAATACCAAATCCAAAAACGTGTATCTGAAACAAAAATTCAAAACTTAGCAAAGATTCTTTACTGGAAATTTTGAAATAAAATTGTTACAAGGAAGTTTACAAAGGAGGCTCAAACTTTCGTTCACAAATCGGGAAATTCCGAGACCATAAAACCTACAAGCATTTTTTATTGATATTTTGACAACAATTTCCGCTGTAAAAGATCCTAAAGAAGGCCTAAGCTCCGATTATTTAAATATTTTCAACTTACTAAATCATCTTGGAAAAAAGTTTCTTTCTTAATGCCACAATCCTGCTAAGAAATCCCCAAAAATCCAACCATGTCCACCAAGCACAACTATACCAATCCGGCTTTTTGCCAGAACAGTGAATTTTATCCAGTACCCTCAGCGGCCGCTGCTGCCAATAAGGAAAATGTAGAATCCATTTACAATCGTAGCTTACAGATAAATTTCAATGGAAATGCGACACGCTATGATGCACGCGATAGTGCGGGACCCTTGCGTATTCAGCGAAGCATGTCAACAAGATCGGTGGCCATAAAGAAAACAAAAACGGAATCGGCAACACCAACCATACACCAGCAATTGCATCGGCAACAACAGCAACATTATGAAAGACAACAACAACAGCAGCAACAACCACCACCACCGCCACTATACCAACAACAACAACAACTTTACCAATTGCAACAACAAACATTGCGTCCGGCCAACTTAAATCGTACAGCTGAACCCTTCGAAATGCGTTCAGGTTCAGGGCGTTATGCTTTGGTGCCCGTCGAAGAATTATCCACAGACATGAATAATCGTTATGCCATAGTTCCAGGGCCAGCAGCCGAATTACAAGGCATGAACAACTCTACCAACAACAACAACACGAATGGCAACCATCAGCCCTCACCCTTGGTTACCACTCGACGTTATGCCAAATCTCAAGATGATTTAGATCGTTATAGCTCACAGATACAACTGGATCAAGATGAGCCCCACTCCTTTCATGAAGATCCCACAGGGGGTGGTGGTGGTGGTGGGGGTTCAGGACCCTATGCCAGTCTGCCACCCGTTTTGGAGGCCGGGAAATTACATCCAAAGCGGCGTATTTCTTTACAAAATCGCCAAAGCTCTCAACAAAATCTCCAGGCCCCCAAAATCAAACATGCCTTCTCCAGTGATTTTGGCAGCAAGACATTTCTGATTGTGGACAAAAATTCCAATCAACGCTATCAAATGGTGCCCACGGCGGAGGATGAGGAACTGGTGGATGATAATCAGGAAATCATACAAATGCACAATGGTAAGGCGCATCGTTATGCGGTTATACCGGCCGAGGATGATGATGACTATGAGGATAACAATGAAGAAGAAACCTGTCTCAGTAATCCCGATTTGAATCACAGCCAAAATTTCCTGCCTCTTGGCTATGAGACAACCCGTACCCCCATGCGGACCTCAACGCCACAGAAGGGCATGTCCATGGGTAATTTGGCCTCATATCCCAGTACTCCGCTAAAAAATCCCCAAGCCACAAAAATGTTGCATGAATTACTATCAACACCCAGAAAAACTCCCGGTCAAAATAGTCGCCCCAATACACCACGGAATATGTATGCATCCCAAAGAGAACTGAGAATACAATATGCCCAGCAGGGACAACAAATTAATTTTTCCGCCTCGAATCACTCACAAATTCAGGCGCCACCATTACTGCCTAGGAAAAATTCTCATCTCTCGCCGCAACGTTTACATTATGAGACCGTAAAACCGGTGGTTACACCTCCACATCAAAATGATCGGACCATGGCTGTGATACAACCTCGAGTGGCTGGAACGGCATATCCCCAAATTGAGGAGGAGGATTGCAGCAGTATACAAGGCAAGGCCGGCAACAATCAATCATATCCCCAGAAAATCGTCAGTGCCACCATAACATTGGCCATTGTTTCGTTGATGTTGGTCCTGGGAAGTTCCATGAATTCGGCCCTCATTGTCTACATGATAGCCCATGTAAGTTTTATATGATTCTATAAAAGAGACAACGTTTTAATTATCTTCTCTCTCTCTCTCTCTCTCTCTCTCTCTCTTTGCAGTTGGGCCGCTCATTTTACCTACAATTCAGTTTGGTGGCTGCCATTAGCGGTGTGGGATTGGGTTTCCTTGGCTTCCGTTCCAGACACTGTGAATGGCTGCCAAATCGTAGCTATACCTCCGGCTATATTTTGGTTACCGTATTTTGTCTGCTGAAATGTTGTTGCCTTTTGGTTATCCTGGTATTGGATCCATATCCAGGGTTACCCTTACATGATGTCACCACAGGAATTATTTTGGGTCTGTCCACCTTTACCATGTTCTTTATTGGTTTGGGTGTGATTGGTACACTGTGGTGTTATCGTCCACCACCAGATAATAGAGTTAATGTGGTTTAAGGAAATTCGATTTTTGTTAAATTAATTCTGTTTTTATGTAAATTTATTTTCATTTTTTTTAATATTTTTTGTTTTATTGTTTATTTATAATTTTATATCATATATCACATACATATATACATATTTATTCCAAACCCAAACAATTGACGGCTAAAATACCAAAAAATCCAAATTTTTAGTAAACTACTAGAGTTAATATGTTCGCACCACTCCAACGATTCCATTTAACTAGAGGCTGTAAATAATGTAGTATACCAAAATATATATAGAATTTATTTTAATTATAGTTATACATATATGTGGAAATGTTATATTTCTTTTAGAATATTTGTTGTATATTTTATTCCATCGAATCTGAGATATCAAGGGTTGTAGTTTTATAATGAAAATATGAATATATATATTAAGGCGTATTGTTTTAAGTTTATGTTTCTAAGGTTGTGTTTCAATGATTAGTTTTTAAGTAAGATAACCTTAAATTGATAAGGAATATTGTGTATAAGACCAATAAATATTTTTTATGGATGAAATTGTTTCTTTTTAAAGTTTTATTTAGATTTTATATTGATATCTAGCCTGATAACACTCGCATGTATTTTAGGATGCTTCGAAATACTACAGGATGAGATAAAAAAACTGCAACAATATCAGACGATATAATTTTTACATTTTGTTTTCAAATTTTATTGAATGAAAGCAAAAACTGTCGGAAATAGTATCAAATTTTAGATTTGTTCGAATTGGTCACCTTTGGCACGAATTATGGCCTTCAAACGGCCAATAAAACCGTCAAACGATCCTTGAATGTTACCCTGAGTTATTTTGGCTCATTCCCGTCGAAGCGCTTGCTTGAGGTGATCGACACTTTGGTATTTTTTAAAAAAGTGTCCAAAATACTCCAGACACAATAGTCCAACGGATTGGTATCCGGAGATTTTGGTGACCATTGTGCGCTGAAAATGAAGCGAAGAACCTCATTTTGTAACTATTGTTGGGTGGTGCGTGCTGGGTGCGATGGTGCTGAGTCCTTCAGAATATGTTCGAGATAATATTCGGCATATATTCTGATGCCACGGTCGATTAATACGAGCGGAGAGCGACCATCCGCTGTTACGGCGGCCAACACCATCACCATGGCCGGCGCTTGAGTTCTGGTGGCCAATCGATGTGCACAGTTTCAGCTGATCTCTTTGACAAGTAAACACGATCATTTTGTTGGTTTACAAACTGCTGGACAACGAATGTTTTCTCATCGGAGAAAACCACATTCGGTAGTTCACCACTTTCGGCCAAGCGAAGCCACTCTTTAGCTCGATTGAGTCTATTTTCTTTCTGTTGCGGTGTAAGTTCTTGCACTTTTTGAAATTTCACTGACTTTACCCCGAGCCATTTTTTTCAATATTTGCCGAATGGAATATTGTGATGTGTTCAGCTCACGAGCCATTTTTCGGCCACTGCGACGTGGGTTTCTATCAAGTCGCTTCTTTACTTTTCGTACCATTTCTGCTGATGTTGCTGTTTTCTTCCGTCCACTTCCATGACGTCGGGCTACGTTACCAGTAGCAAAGTAACGAGCGATGGTACTAGACACAGAAGATTTATTCACATTTAAATGCAATAGCCACTTGTTCGTGTGGCTATTGCCACTAGTTCGTGTGGCGAAATATTACATGTAAATGTTCACGCTTTGGTATAGCCCCCATATGAAGGTACTTCCTCATATTCGGTATTTTGATGATTTTTGACACATTTTTTCAAGGAATTCTCGAAAAATTGGTAGTTGTAGGTCATAATGAGTCCCAGTTCGTGTGGCGAATCATTGTAATTATAGGGTCACGTTTTGGTATAGTCCCCATACAACGGTACCTCCCGATATTCGGTATTTTGATGATTTTTTTTTCACATTTTTCACGGATTTGTCTAAAAATTGGTATTTGTTGGTAATAATAGGTTCCAGCTCCTTTGGCGAAACATTGCATTTATAGGTCCTCGATTTGGTATAGGCCCTATATAACGGTACTCCCAATATTCGGTATTTTAATGGGTTTTGCCACATTTCTTCGTGGATTTGTCTAGAAATTGGTATTTGTTGGTCTTAATGGGTTCTAGTTCTTTTGGCGAAACACTGTATGTATAGGTCCACGTTTTTGTATAGCCCCATGATTTTTGGCACATTTTCCCATGAATATGTCCAAAAATTGGTATATAGGCTCTAATGTTTCCTTTACCCCAAAGTGGAGGGTATTAAAAGTTTGGCCCGGGCGAACTTAATGTTTTTACTTGTTTTTTTATTTTTTATTTTTGATTCATAATGACATAAATAACAAGAAAAAAATAAGGCTAAGTTCATCCAGGCCTAACTGCTAATACCCTCCACCATTTGTAAGGAACTTAAAATATTAAAAAAAAAAAAAAAATCATCGAAAAATACCACGGTTATATGTGGGCTATACAAACACGTGGACCTGTATAAGTAATTATTTGTTATAGGCTGTAGAACAGATTCCAAATTTCCAGTATGAAATTTGAAACAATTCCGGTGAATAATATCGCTAATATCATTATACTATCGAATGAAGGGATGTACCGTTATTTGGAAGCTATAAGAAAACGTGGTCAGACCAGGATACTGGCAAAATACTTATGTGTGCAAAATTGTTGCATTTTATCTCGATTCGTTCGAAAGATCGCATGATTATAACAGACAGAAAGACATCTCTAAATCGACTTAAAATTTTACGCTGATCCAAAATGTATATTCTTTGCATGGTTACAAAACGGAATGACAATGTTAATATACCCTCCATGGAACAAAATCCTAAATTGCAACATACTAATTTTACGATTCCAAAAACCCAAAAGGTACTACTTACTTGTCGATCTTATAACTATATAAATATTTATTATTTTTAAGAATTACTAAATATGTCATGTTAATAACAATTTATTTCTTTTTTTTTTTCTTTACAGAAAAATGCAAGAATACCAAAGAGAACATGCTGAGGCTGCCATTGATGTTACGACTTACGTATCGAATCCTATCAATGCCTATTTATTGACAAAACGTTTAACCACCGATTGGAAACAAGTGGAGAATCTGATGGCCCATGATGTGGGAGGCGAATTTTTGCGTAATATATCCAATTATCGCAGCATTTTGAAATTCCCATCCGAAGAAGATTTGAATGGAGCGGCTGTGGCCTTGATGCGTCTGCAGGATACCTACAATTTGGATACATCCAGCTTGGCCAGAGGCGAATTGAATGGAGTGCAATATAGGTAGGGAATAAGGGAAATTTAAAATTGTAAGGAATTAAATTATTTTGTTTTTACCTTCATTTTCAGTACTGAAATGTCTTCGGATGACTGCTTCGAATTGGGTCGTCAGTCTTATGTAAATCATGATTATTATCACACCGTCTTGTGGATGAATGAAGCCATGACCCGTATGTCCTATGAGCCACGTAATCGTTCATTGCCTTTCTCCAAAGCTGATATCTTGGAATACTTGGCCTTCTCAACCTATAAACAAGGTAAGTAGATGTTTATAATAGGCCCTCTGTGCTTTCGTTGTTAATTGAATTTGTTATGTTTATGTGGTGTGTGTTTTTATTATTGAATTACAATCACTATGTTGCAACGTCACCTGCCAATGTAATTTTCATTATATTAATTTTTTTTCCTGCATAAGTGACATTTCCTTTTGTATACGAAGTGAATATTTCTTACTCTACGCAATATTTCCTTACTTATTTCTATCTCCCACTACCTCTCTCTGAAAATATTTTTACCATAATCTGCTTGACATGAATAATGTTATGGTTATGGGGTTCATAACGTTGCAATGTCACTTTCATCGTTGTTAACAACATCTGCCCTAAGGGGCTAGTGAAAATGTTGAAAAGGGTTTGTGACTGTATGTTTGTGTGGTTCGGTGTGTGTGTGTGGGTGTGTGACATAATTAAGTTTGGTGCAAATTCAATGTCACAATTTTTCACAATTTAATCACTTATCGTAAACAAGTTCTGATAGATTGTTGTGTGAAAATGCAGAGAAGATATTGTTACTTAAGGATAAGGTGACTTGGATGTGCATTAAGCTAAGGTAACACCTTAAGGTGATGATTCAATAACGTGCAAAATAAACTAAGATTTTTATAAGGTCATGTGTTATTGGGTGTTTTTACATTGTTGGAACTTATATCGGCAAAATAAATAAAATGTGATTGGTAAGAGGTAGGAAAAAATAGTCCTTTAAGAGCTGTATGTCGAAAAGAAGTTGGGTAATATTATATATTTTAGGTACCGTTACTTCAAATTTTATAAATACCACAATTAACATTTCCATTTCAATACCCTCTACCATGGTATGAAGGATATATTAATTATTTCATTTGGTACTTTAAACTCGATATAGATACCGACCTATGTGAAACAAGTAAAAAGACATAAAGTTCGGCTGGGCCGAACTTTTAATACCATCTACCATTAGGTACCTAGACATTCAATGAACAATTCTACAACCAGTTGAAAAATTCGGAAAAAATCATCAAAAGGACGAATATCGGAAGTACTGTACAATTGGGGCAATACCTAAACGTAACCCTCCTTTAGTGGGTTATAAAAAGCCTAATAGTATTTTACTATGTTTGGAAGATCTTCTATAATTCAATAGTGGAAAAATTCGGAAAAAAACATCAAAAGGACGAATATTGGAAGTACGGTAAACTGGGGGCAATACCTAAACGTAACCCTCCTATAGTGGGTTATAAAAAGCCTAATAGTATTTTACTATGTTTAGAAGATCTTCTATAATTCAATTTGCCATGAACTTCTTTCCATAGAGATTCGATGGAAAGAACCTTTCATGGGTCTGAAGTGACTTTAAAAAATATAATATAATTTTCATAGATAAAGACCACTTTTGTCGGTCACCTGCTGAAAAAAAGGCCTTTTAACAGCTTTGCAATAGATAATAGGCTTTCTAAAAGAGAGGCTAATGCCTTCAGCAGATAGGAATCTTCTTCAAATCATCGGTAGATGGAATGTCTTTTTTGGATAAAATGCTTTCCTTTATTCTGCTATGTACCTCGCAGTGGTCACCTTCGAGAGACCATCTACACTGTGAGATGAAAAAACTGCTACCGACTTAAGACTGCTGTCATTTCTAAGCCACTCGTCCGACAGCTGTTAAAATTATTCCAGTGGCAGCTAATTATATTGTTTACAAGCGTACAAAAGCATTTTGGTGAGAATCCTCCAGAAAAAAAGTTATTCGTGATGGAATTCAAGCGCGATAGTGTGATCTCTTTATATATGGCTGGCTTCGTTAGAACACTCCAGCATTTATATGTGAAAAAATTTTTTGTGTCTCTTATCATCGCTCGTTGCCGTAATAATGATAGCGTAGCCCAATGTCAAGGAAGTGGACGGAAGAAAACAGCAAGATCCAGAAATGGTTCGAAAAGTGAAGAAGCGACTTGATCTAAACCCGCGTCGCAGTGGCCGAAAAATGGCTCGTGACCTGAACGTATAGTAATATTCCATTCGGCAAATATTGAAAAATGAGCTCGGGGTAAAGCCATTGAAATTCCAAAAAGTGCAAGAATTTACACCGCAACCGAAAGAAAATACACTCAAAAGACCTAAAGAGTTGCTTCGCTTGGCCGAAAGTGGTGAACTGTCGAATTTGGTTTTCTCCGATGAGAAAACATTCGTTGTTCAGCAGTTTGTAAACAAACAAAATGATCGTGTTTACTTGGCAAAGAGGTCAGCAGAAATTGTGCACCTTCTATTAGCCACCACAACTCAAGTGCCAGCCGTGGTGATGGTGTGGGACACCATAACAGCCGATGGTGGCTTTCCGTTCGTATTTATCGACCGTGGCATCAGAACAAATGCCGAATATTATCGCGAAAATATTCTGGAGGGTGTATTAAAGCCTTGGGCACGCAAACATTTTGGCCGCAGACCTTGGACATTCCAACAGGACTCAGCATGCGCCACCCAAGAATGGTTCCTCGCTTCATTTCCAGCGCACAATGGCCACCAAAATCTCCGGATACCAATCCGTTGGACTATTGTGTCTGGAGCATTTTGGAAAGCAAGGTTTGCACTAAAAAATACCAAAGTGTCGATCATTTCAAGCAAGCGCTTCGCCGGGAATGGGCCAAAATACCGCAGAGCAACATTCGTGCAGCATTTGACGGTTTCATTGGCCGTTTGAAGGCCATAATTCGTGCCAAAGGTGACCAATTCGAACAAATCTAATCTTATTCTAAAATTTGATGCTATTTCCGACATTGTGTGCTTTCATTCAATAAGATTTAATAAAATTTAAAAATTATCGCGTTTGACTTTGTTGCAGTTTTTTTTTATCTCATCCTTTATGTTGTAACATTAAGTGAATTACAAAAGTAATTAATAACAAACACATACTTACAATGGCATATGTAAAACTACTTAAGATATTTCCACTTTTACTCGCTCAATAACAATATAAACTTCTACATGCCACAGCAACAATAATAATGTCGTCCTTTCTTGTTATTTTCTTGTAAACTCAAACCATTAAACGGTATTTTAGCATGTCGTAGCCACCACCATTATATGCTCGTCAGTAGATCGGGTTGTTTGTCGTTTGGTTTATGTGTTGGCACTGCAACATTCGCATTGCAATTTAAAGTGACATTTTTTAACCGATATTTTAACATAAAATTTTACCACAAGAACTTAACATTCTGCTCTTGGCAGTGAGTGAGTGAAGGAAGCAATGGTTGTGGTTGGGGGGTGTTGAAGAAGGCGAATGTAAGTCATCTTGCTAGACAAACCAAGGAAACCAACTGTTTTTGTTTAAAGATTTAAAGTTTCTACCAGGACCAGGAAAAGTTATTTTTCAACAAACAGAGCAGCACATAGACAGACAGGCAAACAGTCGATGAAAGTGAACAAAATGTGTAGCCGGGCCATACCAAACTATGCAACAACAAGAAAAAGTAAAATCTGCATTTGCCTTGCCCCACTTGCTTTGATTTACTATATCAAGTGTTCGTAATTCATTCGTTTGCCCGTTCGTTCGGTGGTCCGTGATGTTCTATGCGCAAGTAAAACATCTCTGCACAAATACACGTATACATAGTATATCCCTGGGAATTTATGTTGCTGCTGCAACCAGGACAACAGCAATGCCAGAGTGCCTACGCAATGCAGCGGCTACATAAAAAACACTGGCGTAGCCATGGGTATCCCCCAATTAGATTTTACTAAATTTCTTCATTTAAGTTTTCCATAGCAAACATGAACTACATAAATCGTGATTGTTTGGGGAGTAAGTTTATTTCACCTATTACAAAGTTGCCCCCCACGACGCTAATGTTCGTCCAAACTTGATGCAACAAATATTTTCATTAATATAAAATTGCATGTTTTCCAATGGCCGTTTTGTTGGAATAAAATGTTTGATAATACCTATATACCTACATACATTTTTTTGTTGAGTAGGTTGATAGTAAATACAGAGAAAGATAAATACATACAGTTGTACATAGCGGAAAAAGTGAAACCGTGTGTACGAGATCAGATTTTCTGAAAACAAAAGTTTATGTTTAGAAATAATACCTGCAAGTTCCTGTAAAGTTGTTAGCATAGTTTTAAACTTTATTAAAATTTTCTTGGAATGAAAAAAATCGCGGAAAAAGGGAAAAATGTTGGAAAGAAACTGTTTATTCTTTAAAAAAAAAATTAAATTGTTATTTGTTTAAAGTTATTTGTTTCCAGATGTGTCTTGTTTGAATAATGGGCTTTGGTCTCATCTATTTTTGGATGAATGCCGATTCAGGACATTCGTAACCGATTTGACAATATTAAATATGAAAATATTTCCATCAAACTAAGATAGATTTTGATGATAATACAGGTTGATATAAAAAAACAAATGCCATAATTTTTTTCATTATACCCTACAACACTTTGTGTTGGGGGTATTATAAGTTTGATTGGGCCAAAAATTATGTAACACCACGAAACATTGATTTCCCACATAGGAAAGTATATATGGATCTTCCTATCTCGCAGAGCTGAGCCGATCTAGCTATGTATGTGCGTCCGTCCGTCTGTCCATGTTAATTTGTAATCACTCTACAGGTCGCAATTTTGGCCCGATTTTCACGAAATTTAAAATGTAGGTGGGGTTAAGGTCAGAATAGAACCCTATTTCTTTTGGAGATGATCGCACAATATTAAGGTGTTGAAATGGATCAAAAACTGAAAAATTTCCTGATTTTGCAGTTCAGGTCACAATTATGGACCAATCGAAGCGGAAGTTAGCATGGGGCTAGAGCCTGGGGCGGCTAGAAGTCTTCCAATTTTGATGGTCATTGGGTAATATTTAGCGGGTGAAATAGACCATAACATTTGTGATAAATAAAAGTCAAATTTTACACTAAACCGCGATTATTTTTAATCCCGAAGAAATCACAAATAGACGAACAGGTCAATTCTGACCATTACATCGATGCTGATAGTAAATATATCGG